ACCCAGGGAGACAGACAATAGGGTGCTGAAGACCTGGAGTGGAGGGTGGGGCGGGGAGCAGGAGGGCACGAGAAGGCTGGAGGGGGATCAATGGGGGGAGAAAGGTGACATACGTAATACTTTCAACAATAAAGAATTATTTTTTTAAAAAAGGAAATACACGCCCTAGCCGGTTTGGCTCAGTGGATAGAATATCAGCATGCAGACAAAGGGTCCCAGGTTTGATTCCAGCCAAGGGCATGTATCTTGGTTGCAGGCTCCTCCCTGGCCCAGGCTCTGGATCAGACTCCTGCAGGAGGCAACCAATTGATGTGTTTCTCTCTCACATCATTGTTTCTCTCTGTCTTTGCCTCTCTCTTCCACTCTCCCTAAAAAATTAATGGGAAAATATCCTCCAAGTGAGGAATCACAAACAAAAAAACAACAACAGAAAGGAAGCACAAATTGGTAGATACAAAATAGTGAGGGGTATGTAAAGTACAGCATAGAAATTATCCTATCTAATAAAGAGGGAATACGCAAATTGACCATCACACTGTCACAAAGATGGTGGAGCCCACAGTGGAGACTGGGTTTCCATAACACAAGATGGATGCACCCACAGCGGAGGCCGAGTTCCTGTATCGAGCCTTAATGAGCAATTAGCAGGGACCTGAGTCTATGCCCCCCACCCAGTGGGGCTTGACAGGGGACCTCAGGCCACGCCCCCTGCCCCTGTGCCAGGCTGGGGGACCTCAGACTGCACCCCCAGCCCAGGAGGGCTTGACAGGGGATCTCAGGCATGACCCTGCCCCGGTGCTGGGCAGGGGACCTCAGGCCACGCCCACCACCCCGGGGGACCTGAGGCTGCGCCCCCACTGCCCAGCAGGGCTTGATGGGGGACCTGAGGCTGCACGCCCCACCTGGTGGGGCTTGACAAGGGTGGGGCCGGCCAGGTCTGGATCTCGCCCATGGGGCCAGCCGGGTCTGAGTCTTGTACGATTTTGAGGCTCCGTGGGTGGGCAGGGACTTGACTCTGGGTCCTGTGGTGTGCCCCAGACTCTGACAGGAGGAAGATTTTCATATACATTTTACTAATTTTCTTTCATCTCTGACACTTCTATTATAGAGAAAGGGCAAAGAGCAATATTAAAATACTTTCTCTAATTAATCCCCTTTTAATGTGCATGAATTTCATGCACTGGGCCACTAGTAGTCAATAATATTCTATTAACCATGTGTGGTATCTGATAGGTATTAGACTTTGTAAGTTTGTACATGTCTAATCACTATGTTGACACCTGAAATTAATATATTGTGTCAACTTATTGGAAAAAAAAAATTAAGCCCTAGCCAGTTTGGCTCAGTGAATAGAGCATCGGCCTGTGGACTGAAGGGTCCCCAGATCAAGTCCAGTCTGCAAGCAACCTTCCGAGCAGGGCCCTTGTTAAGGCACATGCAGGAGGCAACCAATCGATATGTTTCTCTCACAGCGATATTTCTCTGTCTTTCCCTTTCTCTTCCACTCTCTCCAAAAATCAATGGAAAAACATCCTCAGGTGAGAATTAAAACAAAAAAACATTTTAAAGAAAATGGTGTATACACACACATAGAGGAATACTATTGTATTACTCAGCCATTAGAAAAAGAAATCCTGCCACTTGTAACAACACATTCATGGACCTTGAGGGCAGGATGTTTTGTGAAATAAGTCAGAAAAAGAGAAATACCACGTGTTCTCACTTATCTGTGGAACCTTTAAAAAAGCAACTCCATAGATACAGAGCACAGACTGATGGTTGCTAGAGGTTGCAGGAGTTGGTGTATGGGGGTGAGGTGGGGGTCAAATGGATGAAAGGTGTCAAAAGGTACAAACTTCCAGTTATAAAATGAGTCATGGAAATGCAAGTTACAGCAAGGTGGCTGCAGTTAGTAATACTACATTTCATATTTGAAAGTTGCTAAGAGTAAATCTTAAAAGTTCTCTTTACAATAAAAAAAATATTCTTGTTTGAAATCCCAGCAGTGGCCGTGGGAAGATGGCTGCTGGGCTGCAGCGGCATTGCTCTTAGTATGCAAAGCTGCGGGAGGCTGACTTTTGTCATGACGGATCCTCTTTTAGGACCTCCATGGAGTGGGACACACAGGGGTTACAAGTAACGTTGTTTTGGAAACTCCCTTCCTTGTTGGCATTGAAGGTTTACTCCAAGGCAGCCCTTACGGCCTTTTATTCTGTAGTTCCTGTGGGATTCCCATTGGCTTCCATCTCTATTCTACCCATGTTGCCCTGGCTACATTGAAAGGTCACTTCTGCCTTTCCAGGGACAAAATGGAATGCTATCTCTTAAAAACAAAAGCCGTAGTAAATGCATCTGAGATGAATATTCACAACATGCCTCTACCAAAAAAGATTGCAGAGCTAAAAGAGAAGATAATATTAGCGCATAATCACTGAAGTTCACTGATGAAGATGCTGAAGGAAGTGACTCCTGACCAGTCCAACGCAGAAAACTGATCCAGAACCAGAGCTTTAGTATCAGGGTCAGGCCTTACTGCCATCTTCAAAGACAGGTGCTGTCGATCATTTCTTGAGAAAGATCAACTTCCAGAATGGACAGGAAATGTGGTTTATTATGTTTACATCTAGGCTGATTTTCCAAATGATTTGTGAAGCTGCTTATAGAAGATGAGAAATTAAGGAGCTCTCTGGCCATGATTCATATCTATTTGACTTTTGAAATTATTTTAGCTCTCTGATCAGTTTCATAGTCATTTCTGAAAACACCTTTAACTGCATATTTAGGGATTAAGGGGCAATGTGCCATGAATGAGCTAATTAAGAAATATATGGTAATAAAGTTGTACTTGATGTTAAGTACTGTGATTCCTACAGGGAGCAGTTATATGAATAGTTGTAACCAAGAATTAACATTTCAGTTAAGCAATAAAGGTTTTATATTCTGCATTTTCTCAAAAAAAGAAAAAATATTCTGTAAGTATGTATGATGACAGATGCACAAAGACTTATTGTGATGATCACTTCACAATACACACACATATCAAATCATTATGATGTACACCTTAAACTAATATAATGTATGGCAATTATAACTTAATGAAAAATAAAATCCCTTCTATAAAAAAAGATTACAGTGGATTTGAAAAACTGCAGTCACCTAGTGATGTCACACCCATCACAATATCATAGGGAAATGCATTACTCAGATGTTCATAATGACGCAGGTGTAAACAAGCTTCCTATGCTGCCAGTCCTATGAAAGTCCAGCACACACAGTTACGGTCACTACATAGAATACTTGATGATGAGAAACTGGTTTATGCATTTGCTATACTATCCTCTTTATCTTTGTGAGCTTTCTACTTAGTGAAAGAAAACTTTGCTGTGAAACAGTATGCTGTTTTATGCAGGCAGCAGCCTCAGCCGTTTTGTGTTGACTGTGCCTTTAGATTGCATCATTCCCTCCTGGCCTTGATTGAATCTGTTTTTTGCAAATTTCTTGGCCTAAGTGTACAGTGTGATAAAGCTACAGTGGTGCCCTACCTGGTTTGCCTCAGTGGATAGACCATCCGCTTGAGGACTGAAAGGTCCCAGGTTTGATACCTGTCAATGGCACATGTCAGGGTTGCAGGCTCGATCCCCACTAGGGGGCATGCAGGAAGCAGCCAATCAATGATTCTCCCTCATCATTGATGTATCTATCTCTCTCTCCCTTTACCTCTCCCTCTCTGAAAGCAATAAAAATATATTTTTAAAAATAAATAAAGTCTACAGTCGTGTACAGTAACATTCTCTGCCTTCATATTCACTCACCAATCACTGACTCCTGCAGAGCAGCCTCCAGTCCTGTAGCCCATTCAGGGTCAGTGCCCCACACGGATGTACCATTTTCTACCTTGCACACCACATTTTTACTGCACCTTTTCATAAATGCTTCCTACCATTGCAAACAGTATTCAGTACAGAAGCATGTTGTACAGGTTTGGTGCCTAGGACTCACAGGCTACACCATATGGCCTAGGTGTGTAGCAGGCTACACCATGCAGGTTTGTAAGAGAACTGAAAACAACAAAACTGCCTCAAGATGTCCTCCCCAGGTTCAGGGGTGCAGGACTGTATGTAACTGCAGTTTCACCTCTCCCAGGAGTAAAATTTTAACCCAGTCACTCTGCAACTTGCTGTTCAACACTAATCTGTAGAAAAACTCCTGCTGTTCCTTCCCCTAAGGAAGGGTGACCCTGCCTGAAGCAATCCCCTCTTTTCTTTTACTAATAAGCCCTCAAAGCCCCTTCCTTTCTGCCAATTGTAAAAGCCTTCCTTTTGAACAGCTGCTCTGAGATTCTATTTACTAGATGGGATGCAGCCCGATTCGTGAATGGGGAATCAAGCCAATTAGACCTTCCAATTTTATTCAGTTGAATTTTGTTTTTTAACAGTTTGAAAAGCACCACAAAAATAAATAGCCGATAAAGATGCTGTGACTCAGAGAAGGGAAGATGGCGGTTAGGATTCGGGGGAGAGACTGGAAATGCAGGCATTTGCTGCAGAGCTAGGCCTGGGGGACAGGGGGTGGACTTGAGAGCCTGCTCCACAAACATCAAAACTCAGGAGAAAACGGAGTCCTTCTGGGGAGAAAGGAGGGACAGGGGGCCCCACAGACCACAGCTCCTCCCGTGCACGAACCGCGGGGACCGAGTCACCATTGTCCCCAATGGCCCTCCCCGTGGTCACCGCACCGACTGCGGAGCCGCGGGGATGTGGGTGCAGAGCTGCCCAGACCCGCTCCGCAGCCCAAGGCCCTGCCGCGGGGACACACTGGACGCCCGGGTCCCGGCTGGGCCCCACCCTGCGAGCCCGAGGGGCCTGCAGTTTCAGCGGAGCCCCCGGCGCCTCGGGTCCGCAGGCTCCGGACCTGACCGTGGAGAGACGGTCCCGCCACGGCGGCTCCACCCGCCTCTCCTCCCCGACCCCGCGCCCGGCCGGCCGCACACTCACCATTTCTAGTTCCTGGGCCTCCCGAGTCCCGCCTGCAGCTCCCACCACCTTACAGTTCGCAGCTCCACAGATGAGGACAGAACAAGGGAGATGTGATCCCAGTGCAGCTGAAGAGAGTGGAAGAACAGGGTGGAAAGAGCTTAACCCGGCCCGCCCCCACCGCTACTCATAGGACGCACACATTGCACGACATCGCCCCCTAGCGCCTGAGGTGCACAGGTCTGAGCCGATGGGGCCACGACTCCTGTCCAGGGACATTTGCACTGAGAGGCAGCGCTGAGAGTCCCCAGGGAACAGTGGTCCTTCCTTGCAAACACACACACTCTTAAGGCACCTAAGGAATCTGGCTCCATTTTCATCTTTGTTGACACCTGGAGTCTGACGTCTGCATTTGCCAAAAAGGTGCACAGGCTCAGGGACCAGGGATGCCTTAGGGTGGTATCCTTCCAGAACTACAGCCAGATTCCCAAAAAGAGCATTGAATCCAGAAACAAGCCATCATTTCCACCGTGAAAAGTGACTTCTGTGCATTTAGAAGGGTTAAATTTAGAAAATTTTTTTCACATGAAAAAATGTGTTCCCACTGGTGATTAAACCACGCTCCTCTGAGGTCATGAGCCACCCCTTACTTGTGGTTGTCTTGTGGGCAGTTCCACAGACCTACCTGGAGCAATGAGATGGGCCAGGGACAGAGGTCACCAGGGTGGGAAGCCCAGGTGTCCAGCAATGGGCAACCAATTGTAGGGTGGGACCTTGTCCCCAGGGTGACTTTTCCTCCTCTAGCAGATCACTGGTCCTGGGTTTGGACCCCCTGATCTTCCTCCCTAGAGATAACACCTATGCCTCATTTAATTTAGCCCCAGGCTCAGATAAGCAACAAAATGCCAGGGCTGACATCAGGACCAGCTGCATTGAATAATGACCCCTGGCCTGGTGCTGGCCAATCCATCAGTGGAGGCCACATCCCTGAATGGACACACCTGGAAAGCTACAGAATATTCCATTCAGCTCTTCCCCTATGACCTCCCCTGAAATCTCCACCCTTAAAACCTTTTGGAAGGAGGACCCAGTGCGCTCTCCCTCCCTGGAGCACACCTGTACCTTTCCCTTCCCCTCCTTCTCCTCCTCCCCCAGGCAGGTTACCATTAGCTTGCACTCCCAAGCTGCAAGGGCACTTCTGTTACCTCCTTAACTCCTTTCCTAAGCCCATTTCCTCTAAGACTTACTTCTCCTACTTCTGTAATTTACCCAGTAAATGTTCTCTTACAGTTTGGGTCTTGCCCTTTATTCTTACCCAGCCAGAACCAAGTACCAAGATTGCAGAACTCAGTTGGGTCTGACCCCACCTGTCAGACACTGGGTGTCATTCCTGCTGCTTACCACAGTTACACTGCTTAATCCAGCAATAATGAGATTTATCAGAAAACTGGATCCCATCAATGTAAGAATCATTCAAACCTATAAAGAATATTTATGATTTCATTGCCAGGAGGCAAAATCTCAATGAATTGAGATAATACCCAGAGTATGGCAGTTTGGTACCTTATTTTATACATTACAGTCAAAAGAGAAGATCCCAGTGAGTTACATGAAATCCACTGGGGATAGATTAGGAAGCAAAGCAGGGAAACTCTGGGATAGGATGAAAAGCAAAATGATAGACATACATATATATTTTACATAGCTGGGTACAGGGTAGTTAATAGTTAATGATTAGCATGATAACAATAACAATGAGAGAACTTATGGTCTCAGCCCTGGTGTATTAGTTGTGCACTGAGGGCTCTGAAATAGGGGTCCCAGATTGGAAATGGTGCAGGCTGGGCTGAGGGGACCACCCCCATCCACGAATTTCATGCACCAGGCCTCTAGTCTATAATAATAAAAGGGTAATATGCTAATTAGACTGAAGGTCCTTCTTGGTGTCATTCCGGACATCCTTCTGGACAAAGCCAGGGCCGGAGCAAAGCCAGGGTTCCGGGTGCTGGAGGGAAGCTGGTGCCGGTAGCTGGGGGAAGGAAGGCCTACTTTTGCATGAATTTTCATGCATTGGATCTCTAGTTTAAAAATAAACATTGACTTGTGCCCTAACCGGTTTGGCTCAGTGGATAGAGTGTCGGCCTGTGGACTCAAGGGTCCCAGGTTCGGTTCCGGTCAAGGGCATGTACCTTGGTTGCAGGCACATCCCCAGCAGGGAGTGTGCAGGAGGCAGCTGATCGATGTTTCTCTCTCATCAATGTTTCTAACTCTCTATCCCTCTCCTTTCCTCTCTGTAAAAAATCAATAAAATATATAAAAAATAAATAAATAAAAATAAACATTGACTTGTGCATGCGCTCTACATATAAAGCTCTCATTGGCACCAATTGCAGGTGTGTGTTTCAATCTGTCATTGTCAACGAGTTTAAAGTATTGTAGTGTCTGGGGATGTTTCAAACAGTTGTCTCTTAAAAAACAAATATGAGATCAGAGGATTCTGTTTATAGTGAACTAGTAGCTTTGCGCACAAATCCATGTGCCAGTAGGTCGCTGCCGCCCTCCTGTAGCTCTCCTCCTGATGCCCCTCCCTCCTGTAGCTTCCCTGACCCCTTCCTCCTCCCCCCTCTTCATAGCTTGCCACCCTGCCCCTTCCTGTAGCTCTCCGCAGCCTGCTTGTGCCTCGCTGGTACACCCTCCTGCTGATCGTGATCTGGTCCTGACGCACTTGGTCATTACACCTCAGGGCATAATGGCTAATTACCATATTCCTCTCTTATTATATAGGATGGTTAGTATAACTTGGAGATGGCAAACTTGGTTGCAGTTTTCATTTAGGAATGGATATTATTGAAATCCCCCATGAAATGATTTGTAATGGGTCTATTATTGAAGCTACCTTTGGAAATAGTATATCTATAGATAATATTAAAAATATATCTAAACATACAGTTCTTTGTCCTAAAAATGAGCATGTTCATAAATTAAATGAAGAAATTTTGGATATACTCGATGGAGATTTTCGCACCTGTTTGAGTGATGATTCCATCGATTCAATGGATGATACCAAAAGGATAAATTTTCCCATTGATTTCTTAATAGTATTACTCCTTTGGGAATGCTGTGTCATAAATTAAAATTGAAAGTAGGTGCAATCATCATGCTACTGAGAAATCTTAATAGTAAATGGGTCTTTGTAATGGTACTAGATTTATTATCAAAAGATTGCAACTTAACAAATTGAAGCTGAAGTATTAACAGGATCTGCAGAAGGAGAGGTTCTTCAGATTCCAAGAATTGATTTGTCCCTGTCTGACACTGGCCTCCCATTTAAATTCATTCAAAGACAGTTTCCTGTGATGCCAGCATTTGCAATGACTATTAGTAAATCACAAGGACAAACTCTAGACAGAGTAGGAATATTCCTACCTGAACCTGTTTTCGGACCTGATCATTTATATGTTGCTTTCTCTTGAGTTCAAAGAGCGTGTGACATTAAAGTTGTAAATACTTCATCACAACGAAATTACTCAAGCACTCTGACAGTGTTTTTACTCTTAATGTGGTATACAGGGAGATAGTAGAATAAGTTTAATCAATTTATCAGTCATTGTTTTTATCAATGTTGTTTTTATATCATGTTTTTTTCTGTTTTTATATCATGTTTTTGTTGTTTTCATGTTTTTGTTGTTTTAATATCATGTCTTTGTTGTTATATCATGGTGTTATTGTTTATTTATTAATCAATTTATATATTATTTTCACATACATTTTACTAATATTATATAGAAAGGGTAAATAATGATATTAAAATATTTCTTCTAATTAAGTTCCTTGCAATATGCATGAATCCATGCACTGGGCTACTAGTACATTATAATTCACTAGAGGCCCAGTGCACAAAATTCATGCACTGGGGGGTGTCCCTCAGCCCAGCCTGCTCCCTCTCCAATCTGGTACCCCTCGGGGGTTGTCTGAATGCCAGCAGTCAGACATCCCTCTCACAATCCGGGAGTGCTGGCTCCTAACCGCTAACCTGCCTGTCTGCCTGATTGCCCCTAAGCGCTTCTGCCTGCCAGCCAGATCACTCCCTAACTACTCCCCTGATGGCTTGATTAACACCTAACTGCTTCCCTGCCAGCCCGATTGCCCCCAACTGCCCTCCCCTGCTGA